GAACATGAACTCCTCGATTGGAGCTATTAATCCATTCAGGAAGTCCCGGCTGACAGATAAGAACTGGAGTGTCAGACATCCTGTTTAATCTGAGAGCTGGCTCTGTCGGAGCTGGATTAGGCTCAAAGACTCTCTCCATGTAAATAAAGCGTGACTTGGTGAGGGGACTGCCGGCCTCTGCGGAGTTATTTCGCTAAGGTCTGCGCAAATGGCATTGGGGGAGATGAAAAGCAACAAGTAATTCTTCTGACAGCTTGTGGACCCACAGCTTTTTCAGTTGTTAGGAGCCTTACTTTGCCTGAGGTACTAGACACTGAAAAGTTTTAAGAGTTGACAGATTTAATTAAGGAATATTACAATCCCAAACCTCCTCAAATTGTGAGACACTATCGTTTTAGTCAGTGATTTGAGAACCAAAGAATCTGTATTGGGATTTTTGACTAGTTTAAGACAACTGACAGAGACATGTGACTTTGGTTTAAACCTTAATGAGATGCTGAAAAACCATTTGGTGTGTGGGATTAATGATGTAACCATGTAAAAGCATCTACTAGCTGTAGCCCAAATGGACTTCAAACAGACACTACAACTGGCCTTATCATTGGAAAACACAGCAAGTGGAACATATGAGTTGCAGGGTATTCTGATGGAAGTGGACACCCTCATCGAGCTTGGCAACTTCGGTGAAGGAAATTGCATAGCGTCACTCAAGACATATCTTGAACAGACGGACTTTAGATCAGCCCACAGCAAAATTGCAAAACAAAGCCAAGCCTCGGCCAAATGGTCAAATATTTCTTCAGGATTCAGGCCAGCAAGCCATTGCAGCTGCTGCCAGTCTGCAGACTTGAGACTGCAGAAGAGTCCCACTAAACTTAAATGAAGTAAGAGAATCATCGGCTGGTATCCAGGAGAGTGCGCACCCTGGAAAGTTCAATTACATCTGGTTTGGAACAGTTACATTGCTTGGCAACATCCAAATCAGAACCATTCAAAATAAACGTCTGGGTAAATGGTCACCTGGTTCTAATGGAGGTCAATAACAGTGCAGCAGTTTCAGTGATTGCAGAACTGGCCTTTAACAGAATTCATTCTGGACTCCAACCTTCACATTCGTGCAAGCCCTCGGCTAGACTGAGAACCTACACCGGGGAATCTTTACAGGCTATGGATACAACTTCGGTTCGGGTCTCGTGTATGAGAAGCAGCTGGTTCAGTTACCACTGATTGTAGTAAAAGGCTCAGGCCCAAGCCTGATGGGGAGGAATTCGCTGAGAAAGATTCACCTTGACTGGTTCAATGTTTTTCAATTAGAAAATGGCTGCCTGAGTGGAGTCCTAATTAAATATCAGGAAGTTTATTCAGGAAGGTCTAGGCACTATCAAAGGATCCAAGGCCACTTTGCATGTTGACCAGGAAGCAACTCCACGATTCTGCAGGGCCCACCCAGTGCCATTTGCCTAAAGTGTAAAAGTAGAAGCAGAAATCAGAAGGCTGGAAAGTGAAGGAATCATCAAACTGGTCCAGTTTGTACAACCGTCAGCGCCGGTCGAATCGATTGTGGAGCCCAATAGGTCAGTTCGCATTGTGGGGATTTTAAACAAAGGGTAAACCACTCCTTGCAGCTGGATGAATACCAAAACACTCGCATAGAGGATTAATGCATAAATCTGGGAGGGGAGCTGTCCTTCATGAAGCTGGACATGAACTATGTGTACTTGCAATTGTGGTTAGGTGAGGATTCCCAGAAGTATGTACGAGACTACAATTTAGGGTATCGTCAGCTTGTGCACTTTTTCAGCTTCAATGGAGAACATTTTACAAGGTGGAACCCAGATTGCCACTTATCTGGATGATGTGCTAATAACAAGGAAGACTGATAAGGGGCATTTAGAGAACTTGGACATAGTCCTTAAACGTTTCTCCCAGGTGGAGCTGAGGTCTTTCCTTTACTGGTGACTTATTATGGAAAGTTCATACATAACATAGGGGCCTCCATCCTGGCATCTTTGCATCAACTCTAAAAAGAAGGGTCAGCCTTGAAAATGGTTGCCAAGCCATAGCTTTTAGGGAAATGAAGAAACAGCTATCATCCTCAATGGTGTTGGTACATTGTGATCCCAAGCGAGATCTGGTATTGACATGTGATGCCTCCTGATATGGCATCAGAGAAGTATTGGTTCATAGATGGCCCAATGGAGAAGAATGCCCAATAGCGTATGCATCCAGGATTTCAGCGAATGGAGAGCGTAAATACACCCAGATAGAGAAGGAAGGTTTAGCCATCATGCTTGGAATCAGGAAGTTCCACCAATACTTTTATGGATGTAAATTCATAATAATAATGGATCACAAACTCCTGCTATTTCTGCTTAAAGAGGATAGAGCAGTGCCGCCCATAGTTTCAGGACGATTTCAGTGGTGAGCTCTAATAATAAACACATACAATTGCAAGTTGGAATACAGTCCAGGAGGCCAAGTAGCAAATGCAGGTGCATTGAGCCCCCTCCCACTGGCAGATACACCACTGGCGGTACTGCCACTTGAAGAATCCATTATGGTTTTAAATTTTATGGATGCATTTCCAGTCACAGCTGACAATATCAGACTGTGATCACAGAAAGATCTAGTCTTGGCAAAACTGAAACCAAAAGGCTGTCACTACCAGAATTGAAATCTTTTTGCACCTGCAGAGACCAGATCACAACAGATGATGGGCATTTTAGTATGGGGTGATATGGGCAAGAGTGATTGTCCTGAGCAAAAGTCTCTGCCAGGTACTGGCTGAACTCCACCAGGGTCATCCAGGGGTGTCCAAAATGAAGATGTTGCTGAAACGTTATGTCTGGTGGCCAGGATTTGGATGCAGACATAGCCATGTTTGTGGTGCAGTGCCCACACTGCCGACAAGAACAAAAATTACCACCAGTAGCTCTCCCACATTTGTGGGAATGGCCAGGTAAACCCTGGACTCAGTTACATGTTGACTATGTCAGCCTTTTCATGAGCTCAATATTCTTAGTCATTGTGGGTGCCCATTCAAAATGTCCGAATGTGCATAGAGTTCATTTGTCAAACATGCAGACGATGGTAGAAAAGCTGCGCGTATCTTTTGTAATACACAGACTCACAGATAATAGGCCATCTTTTACCAGCAGGAAAGTTGAGTATTTCCTAAAGTCAAATGGTATTTGACATATAGGGACAGCTCCATACCATCCATCATCCAATGCTTTGGCAGAAAGGGCAGTCTAAACTTTGAAGGCAAACTTAAAGAAACAGCCTACAGCTTCACTAGATACCAAAGTGTCTCAGTTCCTATTTGACAATAGGACCACCCCTCATGCAACTGCGGGGATAGTTCCAGCAGTGTTGTTATTGGAGAGAAGACTCTGCACCAGGTTAAATCTGATTTTCCTGGACCTGAGGCAGGGGAAGGGTGAAACAGCATCAGGAATGCCAATGCCGGATACAAGACTCTGCTAAATGACAGAGAGAGTTTAGTTAAGGGGATGAAGTGTGGTGTAGGAATGAGGAGAACAGCCCTACATGGGTAAGAGGCATGGTCAGTGCAAGGTGAGTGACATATAAAGTTCGGATAGGTGCGACAGTCCTGAATAAGCACGTGGACCATATGAAAGCTGCAAACGGTGCGGGAATGTAACATGTCGGCTCCTCAACAGCTTTTCCAACCATTCTGGAATTTGTGGATTCTCCCTGTCTGTCAAGCATTGAAGAAACTTTGGAATCTGAGATGGACATGGCAGTTATTACTGCCTTTGACGCATTTGCCACCTGAAGAAGGGAATGAATTTTTTCTGAGATGCTGTGGGCGCAAGATGCGAGCTACTGTGCATTACACACTGCCCATATTGGAGGCAGAGATGGAGAAATCGGACCCGGTGCTACAACACCCCAGGAGGAGCTACAAAATTAAGAACTGGTCTATGTCCTCGGACTCAGAGGGGGAGGGATGTAGTGATTGTAACAAGGTTATGAATAACAAGGAATATGAATTTCCTGGTTGGGGTGTTAATCTGGTCCAGTCAGGGCGCCCTGGCTGACAGATATGAACAGGAGTGTCAGACATCCCCTTCACTCTGAGAGCTGGCTCTGACGGAGCTAGATCAGTGTCAAGGACTCTCCACGTGCAAATAAAGGGTGACTTGGTGACGGGATAGCGGCCTCTGTGGAGTTATTTAACTAAGGTCTCAGCTGTGTGAGGATTCATGGAAAGGATTCACAGCTCACATGAGGAAAAAAAAGCAGTTGCCAAATGTACAGATTTGATCAGGAAGGGAAGTTTCTCTGGTTTTGAGTAACTGTGAAGTGGCGGTGTTGGGAAGTAGATGTAATTTTCTTTTGTCCCGTGTTTTGAAACGTTCCAAGCTCTGTTATGTGCAGATAGTTTTCTTTGTTTTGTTGTATTTATTTTTCTTATGCATAATAAAATTCTGTATTATTGTTAAAATCAAATCTGTAATCCTGTGTGCTTGAGTTTCAGTGAAAGACCGCAAAGGTTAAAAAGAAACAAAATAATCTATCAAGCCTGATCTCATCCTGGAATCTAATTTGTCCAGTAGTAACATCAGCTGGGATCATATCAAAGTCAATGTAATAGAATTCTATAAAGTCGGCTTATCTAGGTTGTGACCTGTGGTGCCTTCATCAGGATATGAAGTGCACTTTTAAATATATCTATATAGAGTTAATCAAATGCTAAATATGTTCGTATGTAAGGTATGATAGGTTAGAGTCATAGAGTCACAGAGATATACAGCACCTCAAAAGTGTTTCATTGGCTGTAGAGCAGTTTGAACTGTATAGTGATTCTGAAAAGTATGATAAGAATGAAAATCTTTTTTCATATAAATTTCCAACTACTGATAACTTTTATTTAAAAGAAAACCTGGCAGAATATAATGAAACCCAATTGGAACATGTGATGGAAAAGATACATTTCAAGAGATTTTTAATAAAACATTATTTATTATCCTTAGACGTAGAGTGCTTGGATTATCAAGTGGAATTGACCACATTGGAAGCGTACGATGGGAACTGGCTCTTTGTCTTCTTGCTGCTTGGATTATCTGTTATTTCTGCATTTGGAAGGGACCAAAGTCCACTGGAAAGGTGAGCTGAGATCTATTAATTTATACTTAACACTTGAAACGATTGAAACATTAATGGCACATATATAGTTTCCTCAATAAAACCCAGTTGCTTCCTTCCAAGCGATAATATTGAATGCGTCTTGATATCGCTAGTATTTAATTCTGCTTCTACCTCATTATTGTCATTAGTTCAGTAGATTAGGGTAATTTATTTGTCAAAGCCAATCACACCAATATCACAATTAAAATAGCTTTCTTGTCTTCCAAAAGAAAATAGCCCTGGCATGCATGGAAATAAATTGTCTTTGGCTTATGTTATAGGACCGTTTCATATTTTTAATATTTTATCATTGTTAGTGTAGATCTGAAGAAAGCAAGTCTGTAATATATAATGAATTTGTATACAGGCTTCTTATTGAATTGCCTCTTTCACATTCTTAATGTTGTTGTAGCATTTGATAAATCAATCCCTCTTAGCCAACACTTTTGTACCTAACATCTTTAGCCGAAGAGGAAGAATTGTCAGAGATACACGTTCATTCATGACTATGGTAAATACCATTCAGATTTTCCTCATAAGACCATTCGTTTGTCACTTGCTGTTTTCTCTGGTGGCCCAACTAATCACGGTAAATCTTGCTTATTGAAAGCAGGCACATGTGAATACAAGCCAAAACTGAAATGTTATCTCCTCACTCTCTGGTTTCTTAACTTCTAAATTTAAACTGAAACCATGCATGACCACAAGTAATTCTATTTACAAACCTTGTTACAATGTATATAAATTAATTAAAAACTGAAGTTAGAAAGCCGATGTCAAACGATAGTGACAAAACATATTAATGAATTTGCAGACTATATTTCTGCTGATGCAGAAAACATGGAACAGTGTTGTGATCAAAATCTTTTGCAATACGAGTAGTGAATTAAATAGTAGTCTATCCTAATGTAATTTACTGTAGTAAAAGTTAGCACCTATATGTTTTTTTACTTGACCAAAACTTCTCTGGTGAGACTTTTGGAAATGCCTTAACTTGACGACAAAACACAATGCAACAAGTTTATAAGCAACAGTATAGTAACTCTGCTTTATCCCAGTCCTCCTTTAGTGTTTAGAAGTACAGTCTGGAACATAATTCTTCCAGGTGCCGCAATAACTTGTTTAGTTACAGTAAAGAACGTGAATTAATTTTTTTTGAGGTTTCTCTATAAGTAACAGTCTGTAGTAAGATTCACAGCAAATTGATATTTGTAGTAAAATCATGACAAATGTGATTTTGTAGACTTGGGTTGCCTTTATGAATGTAAACTAAACTGATGTACCAGTGATCATAACCTGGCATGCCACTGTATTTGTGACCATTTGTTGCGTTGTTTCCAATTCAAGGAATTACAAATGACAAATTTCACAAATATTAGTCTCCTTCCTTCTTATACCAGACAAGATCCTGACTGTGGTTCATTCTACATATTGTCAGGCCAGGAGGGTTGATTGGCTCCCCTCTTTTTAACCCCCTCTCAGTTGATTGCAACAAATATTTTTACTTTTTAACAATTCAATTAAGCTTAGTTAACTCAGTCAAAAATGAAAGCAAGGCAATTCCAAAGTTTCTTTGAGAGAATGAGTGGAGTTTTATTACTAAGCAAAATTAAAGACATAGAAAAAATAAAGAAAATATAAAAGAACACTAAGAAAATGTGATATTAATAATGTGTTTGCAAAGTTGGGTGGGGGCTTGTGGATGTCAAGTACAGACAGGAAGATTAGGCAGTTGCAGTTTAAAATTCTTCACTTGTGTGTGACAAATCTGAGTCTCAACTGCTGTTGACCTGGTACATCAGCAAAGGTAATGTTTGTAGGTATCCTAAGCTCTCAGTGAAGGCTGTTGTTCCATTTTGTTTTTTTTTAAACGAGGTATTGATTTCTTATCTTGACGAGAGAAAGAGAGAGGGACACTGGCAGAGAAAGTGTCTTCAATTCTTGCTTACAAATGGATTTTTCCTACCTGCAGCTTAAAAGTAGCTGTTGATAAAGGTCCATTTGTATACTTCTGAGTCTACACATTGCTTTTCCGAATACTCCACAAAAAATCTATCATCTCAATATGTAAGTTTGAATCAACCAGTTCCATTGCCTATTTATAAGAATGTTAATTTTAGCTCAGACTAATGTTTGCTGAGTCGTTTCATGAGCTTGTCTCAACCTAGTCAGGTAATCACAACAGCTATTTTAAATGAGCATGTGTCCTTTTTTTGTCTATAGAAATCTCAGGTATTAACAGCAAATGAATGAAGTTGAATATTGATAGTCCATTTTCACTACAATTTGAGTCCACTGGACTTCTTACTTTCAGTGATAATTAACCCTTGTTTCAGAAAAAAAACCCGCCTCTAATGTGGCTAATAACTGTGCTGTATTTACTGTTAAAAGAACTGTTTTAATGAACATTGAAAGTCGTATTAATTACATCTATCAGTGCCACATATAAAATCATGACAGAAACGTCACTTTGAAGTCTTTAATGGACAAGTTTTAAAATTAAAAAAACGCTGTTGTAAACGAGTTTGAGAAATGAACTCAAGCCATAGACTCCTTCTACCTTTGCATTTTGTGCACTTTCCCTCACATTAGAAGAAGCCTGACTTACACTGATGCCAGCAGCTTAGATTCTGTCATTGGTTGCGCTCAGAAGGGTTTTCAAAAGCACACTATAATGAGCCTAATGGATTCAATGAGGCATAAAGGAACACTGGACAAAGGAAAAGAGATGTGTGAAATAAAAGGAATGAGCTACATTGTGATGACCTAGGAAAAGGAGCTAGGCAGCAATGATTATATCTCCTGAAGTGTCTTTTGTTTCAGTCTGCAGTAGTAGCAAAGAATGGTCCTCCACGGAGAGGCATTAATAGTAGGGCAAAGATTGATCTCTGTATTCACAGGGGGGAAGAAGAACATTCATGAGATGCATGCAGAGTTTCTGCACTCCAACCACCCCTGTGTGGGGAATTAAAGCAGCCAGTGAAAGATTTTTTTCCTGTTGAGATCTAAGCATTCAAGTCGGCCTCCAGGCTGTTTGCTGCATGTCTTTGTATTTGTGGTTGGAAAGTTTTTCACATATTTCTCAACTCAGGAATAACGGTAAACCAATACTCAAAAGGCTCAAGCAATCAATAAAGTCTTGATGAGCATGTAATACAGAATAATCCGACAGACTCCTAAAAGAAGTTGTAGCAAGGAAAGCAAACGTATATCCAGAGAGAAAAACAAACTTATGGGGCTAGGGGAGAGAGAAAGGGAGCTGGATGATTGAGATGACCAACACCAGTAGAAGAGTCCTCCTTTATACTTCAGTTTTCTACTCGAAGATGGGTCTGGCCCACAGCACGACAGTATCTACCGTGGGAGGGGAAGAAGCTAGGTCTCAAATCTACTGCAACCAGCCAGAGACTGAACTCCATGGTATTAACATCAATCTGATCCATATAGCTGTCCAGCTGAGTGTATCAACTGGTTCCCTGACTGTCACAACATATATAAACTTCATAGAATCCCTACAGTGTGGAAGTAGGCCATTCAACCCATCGAGTCTGTGCCGCCCACCAAAAAGCATCCCACCCAGACCCACGCCCCTAACCCTGTCCCTGTAACCCTGCATTTCCCATGTCTAATCCACCAAACCTACATGACTTTGGACACCATAGGCAATTTAGCATGGCCAATCAACTTAACCTACTCATCTTTGGACTTGCATGTTGTAGCCTGGAGCTATAGTAGAGGCTCCAATTTCTTTCCATAACATGGCTGACCATGAGTCATACCCTAACCACTGCCATTGATGTATGTTGGAAGGATTCATGATATGCTGGCAGTATCTCACAGGTGCTCTTTTATTCCTCTTGGCAAATGTTTCTACAACAAGGTTATGTTGTAATCACAATGCTGAAGTGTGCATCTATGGGATGGAGGGAAATCAACAGTGGCTTGAAGTGACTTGATCATTATTCAATGAACTCCAGTACCTTTTTCAGATTTTGACATAAATTTTAATTTTATTTTGATGCCATTTTGTAGCGTACCATTAGTATTCCATTTATGTGTAATGATGACTGTTCAGTTTATGCACTAAGTCTGATTGGATTGTGAAAAACCCACCCAAGAGCACATCATGGCTGATATCCTGTGAGGGGGCAGCACAGTTGCTCAGTGGTTAGCAATTCTGCTTCACAGCACCAGGGACCTGGGTTTAATTCGACCCTCAGGCAGTTGTCTGTGTGGAGTTTGCACATTCTTCCCTGTGCTTGCTTGGGTTTCCTCTGGGTGCTTCAGTTTTCACCCACAGTCCAAAGATGTGCAGGTTACATGGATTGGCCTGCTAAATTGCCCATAGTGTCCAGGGATGTGCAGGCTGGGTGGATTAGCCAGGGGAAATGCAGGATTACAGGGATACGGTAGTGGGGGTGGGTCTGGGTGGGGTGCTCTTCCGAGGGGCAGTGTGGACTTGATGACCCGAATGGCCTGTTTCAACACAGTAGGAGTTCTATGATTCTGTGTGCCACCGTTGACAATTGGTGAGGAATATAATTTGTATATTTTCTAAGTAATGCATAAATCGACCCCACATGTGAATTATTTTACAAAAATGGGTCAAGTAGGGAGGTGAGAGTTGCTCAAGGACTCATTTGCCCAACTGTGACATCAAAGAGTCCAAACAAAGTTGGAGTCAATGGGTATCAGAGGGACAATTCTTTGCTGGTTGGAATCAGACCTGGCACAAAGTAGGATGATTGTGGTTGTTGGAGGTCACTCACCTCAGTTTCAGGCCATCTCTGCAGAAGGTTGTGTCCTGGGCCTAATCACAGTCAGCTGCTTCATCAGTGACCTGTCCTCCATCATAATGTTAGAAGTGGGATGTTCACCAATGATAAAGCATTGCATATCCAAATACTAGAGTGTCACTGCTGGAGGTCACCACTGCTCATGCTGCAGGGAAGTGTGGTACCCCAGTTTTGAGTTGTAAT